ATGTAACCATATAAGTAATTTTCATTCACCGCAATCTTGTTGCATTTGAAATAGTTGCTTCAAAGACCAGGACCAAGTCTGCAGTCAGCTGTTGTCTTCGAAATGACTTTGGTCGACTGGAGGTTGAGAGAGGTGCATGCTCAATCTCTAAATAACTGGATTCAGTTGTTACATTTCAAGAAAAAAATAATATTAAGTACAGCATGAAAAAACACTCCATGAAAATGATAAAGGGCTAAGTCTGGATCATTTTTTTCTTACATCAACCTTAACAGACTCCAGGGGCACTCCTACACGTCTTGACACTCGGTAGGGAGGTTTGAAGTTTTTTTGGCAGCTTCAAAGCAAAACACACTGGCCACAAGAACATTCAAGAACGGTTTATCAGGTTAAACTTCACAATGTTTTAATTTTATTACTGTTTGTGCGGTTCTATGTTCCTTTGCTTTTGTTTAGTCTTCACCCTTGTGCTATGACTCTGCAGTTTGCTTGTAATACTTTGACATCCTTATCTCATGTTTTTGTCCGCCCTCACAAAGTAATAAGGCTCATTAAATCTGACCTCTTGCCACTGTTGACCTTTAGGGGTCAGAAGTGTCAAGTGGTTTAGCTGCTGTTACTTGGGCCTCACAAATGGGAGTCCCGGTGGTCATTTTCCACACGTGTTTTCACACGGCTGTTCGCACACTGGCCTCTTCACAGCTATTAGGAGGCATCTGGACAGCGTGATGGAATCTTCTTGCAGGATTAAGTCAATTTATTGGTTATCATAGCATTTAATACCTACCTTTTGAACTTTAGTTGCTGATAATTTGAGTACAGATTAACCTATAATAGAGCGAATAATGTAGCCAGATGCTTCCTTTTTTGCTCTTGCTCTTAAAACAAGACTTATGTTTAGTGGAAGGTCAGTAAAAATATTTGGTTAAAGGAGTAGTGATGGTAACTGATAATGCCTACAAGTTCTGCATCTCTGAGAAGTATCCAAGCATTTTGTTGTCGACTCCTTATTACAAGCCCCAACTCGAATGTTGTGGTTCAGTTGCTACTTGCCCAGCACTGCCTGGTACATCATCCATGTCATATAAAAGTTGTGTTCCCAGACAGCAAAACTGTATTCTTAGGAATGTTTAAACGTCAAATATGTTTCTGGTGAGTATAAATTTCCAGGTGGATGAGTCATGCCTTATACCTGGAAATAAGGGAGAAGCTTCTACATCAGGTTAAGGAAGTACGGTTAGAGAAGTAACCTTTAGTCAAGTAAATGGAAGAAAGTATAATTCAGTAGCATTTCAGCAGCGTTTATTTACTTTCAATATGAACCAGAGAGCTCTTCAGTAATAAGATGATTATAAAGTAAATGCTAAGTGCTTCATTAAAAATAGAAGTCTAGTTTGAGGGGTTTTTGTCCATAAAATACACTTCACAAGTAAACAGTCTCAACAAAAATAACAACAGGTTTAACCCCTCTGTTCTTTGACCTACGTCTTTGGACACTTGATTGGCTGAGTGGCATCAGGGATGATAGGTTACAATGCATTTTGATCTATGTACCTCCAGTGACTACTGCAAAAGACAAAGAAGAAAGCTGTGCACATTAAAATAACTGTAAATAATAGAAAAAAACCTGTGCAGAGTGAAAAAAATTCCATTAAAATCTAATCGGTCTAGATCCGTGTTGAACAGCATGTCCCTCCAGCTGTTGGTGAGCTAGGTTCTATGTAACTAGCACATGGCTAGTAAGTCCTCCGTTTATGAACTTGGATTTTGACACCTTGAGTTTAGTGTTGTTGGCCAAATTAGTATGACACTGGAGGGCAAGTTTTTTGTTTGTTTTTCTTATTTTAAATTAAATGCTGGGAATTTCTTGTTTGTTACTTATTTAACTTCACGGGGTGACATTAGCTTTTTTTTGACACTGCTATGTTAGCAATTTTGAGGCAGAAATTAGCATAGTTGGCTGGGAGTGGTAAGTGGTAAGATATCAGTAAATCCTTTGAAACCGGTCGGAGTTGGCACGCTCCGTTTTGCATAACTATTTTTAAATCCCTGTAGAACTGGAACCACGTAAGCTAGCGCAATGATTTTTTTTGCATATGAAACCGGAGGAGTTGTACTTACATCTTATGCCATCAGTTTGCCCTAGGTCATGGTTTCCTTCCACATATAGCTTTGCAAAAATTGCATAAAAAGCACTTGCAGCAACAAAAACATAATATTCCAGAAACACGCTTTGCCGATCCAATCAGCTGTTCAAAACACTTCCTACATTGGAATAGACGTCAGCGCGAACTATCGCATGTCCGCCATTACCTGCCCGAAACCAGAAGTGACGTCATTTCCCCTGAAAATGTAGATTTTTACCTTCGGGGCCTTAAAAGCCTGTAGTGGTATTTTTAAAAGTCATGTTTAACTGTATGCTTTTCTGTATCGTTTCTGGGATGCTTAGAACTCATATTGCACTGCTGGAAATGGTTTATTTTAATGCATATGCTGTTTTTTTGCAAATTTGCATTATAATATTTATTTTGTTGAACGGTGCACGGTGGCACGGTGGTTAGCACTGTTGCCACATAGCAAGAAGGTCCTGAGTTCAATTCCACCATCAGGCCGGGGTCTTTCTGTGTGGAGTTTGCATGGTCTCCCCGTGTTTGCGTGGGTTCCCTCCGGGTACTCCGGCTTCCTCCCACCGTCCAAGCACATGCAGCTTGTGGGGATAGGTTAACTGGATAATCCAAATTGCCACTAGGTGTGAATGTGAGTGCGAATGGTTGTCTGTCCCTGTGTGTTAGCCCTGCGACAGACTGGCGACCTGTCCAGGGTGTACCCCGCCTCTCGCCCTATGACAGCTGGGATAGGCTCCAGCGCCCCCCGCGACCCTGAAAAGGATAAGCGAATGGATGGATGGATATTTATTTTCGTTTTTCCTGCAGTATATAAAAATTGGTGTATCTCAAAAATAAAACTATGAAGACACTCAAAATAAATTTCCTGTTGTTGGAAACTATTTTGTGCAACTTTTATGTATTTACAGTTTTGAGGGATAAGCCTCTTAAATTTCTCTAACTAGAAATATATGGAAAAAAATCAAAAACGATTTTCAATTTTTTTGTACTTAATTGCACTTTTTTGCAATTTATGTAGTTACTATGGAATTAAAATTTGGGCTATAACGGTTGTATTAATGTATAGCAACTTGAAATGCTCCCAAAAATGGCACTACAGCATGTAAAAGTATAAAGATTGTGGCTCAAGAGTTGGCAGTTCGTCTTGTGATCGGAAGGTTGCCGGTTCGAGCCCCAGCTCGGACAGTCTCGGTCGTTGTGTCCTTGGGCAAGACACTTCACCTACTGGTGCTGGCCAGAGGGGCCGATGGCGCGATATGGCAGCCTCGCTTCTGTCAGTCTGCCCCAGGGCAGCTGTGGCTGCAACTGTAGCTTGCCTCCACCAGTGTGTGAATGTGAGAGTGAAGGAATAGTGGCATTGTAAAGTGCTTTGAGGGTTTCAAAAAGCGCTTTATAAATGCAATCCATTATTATTATTATTATAAGCTCTGGCGGACTTGGTTCTATGGTAGGTCTTAAAGGGTCAAATCAAATCACTTTTATTGTCACATCACATGTGCAGGTACATTGGTACAGCACAGCACACAGGGTTAACGCTAGTAATTGTGGTTCACGAGCTGTATTCATAAATTGAATATACCGTAGCTGGAACTGTATTAAAATGCTCTAGAAAGTACAAACCCGGTTAAGAAGTCAAGCTCAGTGAGTTAATATTAGCTGTCGTGAACCCTAACAGACAGCTAGCACCTTAGGGACCAGTTAGCGACCACATGGCAGCCACAAGTAACAAGAGGAAGTTTGACTATTCCCTGAATGGTTGTGAGTGGCATCTGGAGTTTTTTTGTAGACAATTAATATGGTTAGTATGTGGCTGTAAAAAGATATCCACTGAATGTCTACAACTTGTACACAGACTAATATTACCGGAGCCTGTCAGGAATTCTCTCTTTTCAGTCTTTCGACTAAGAAACTTTATTTTATTAGTAGAACACTCTTCTTGAACACATGGTTTGTTGTGTTTGGAAACACAGTGAAATCTCTGTAAGAACTCCCTCTAACCAACGTCATGGTAACGCCTGCAACATTGGTTCAGCTTTGTTGCTATTTTTCAACCATGACTAGAAGTTGAGAAATTAGTGCCAGCCACTGGTTATTCAACATCAAAATGTTTGGTGCCTCCTGTGCTGTTGGCCAACAGGCTGCTGGTAGAAACTGAGCTACTGCTGGGTACAGTGAGAGAGAAGGAATGGCAGGAGGGTGGAGGTGACAGAGAGGTCTTTAGATGCAGGGACTATGGCTGGTAGAGGGACAGAGCGGGTGCAATAATAATGGAGAGAAGATGGAGCTGCCAGACAAGAGGGAAAAAGGAAGACCACTATCCTTGAAACATGGTAACTATTATTCCCTGGATTTGGCTTTACTGGGTCAGAACTGGTTCTCGGGCAGCTTTTAATATCCGCTCACACTTGAGTAGATATACTATGCTGTAGTATCCTTCCTCTGGTCGACTACTCCTTTTCTATTTTTCTTCTGAGCTCCACTGTCCTGTCTGTCCTTTTTATAGAGCTTTTATCCTGTCGTTTTAATCCTCCTCCTACTCAGTCCCTCCCTCCCTCCATTTACTTACTTCCCTCCTTCAGGCGCTTCTTCTCTTTCTACCTCGGCCCTCCTTTCTACCTCCTTTCCTCAAGTCATCCTCTAAAACCTCGCCTCTTTTTACCCACTTCCATCAGCTTACCACCTCCTTATTTTTTTCCCTTCTTCTCTTTATGTAACTATTTCTTCTTATCTGCCTCCTTTCCTGTCTCCTGAATTAACACTCTCTCGCCTTTTTCTACGACCGGTCACTTGTATCTCATATGCCGTTTTTCATCACTTCTGTTTTTCTTTCTTATATCTCAGTTTAACTTGTCTGACTTCTAATTTCCCGCATATATCTTGTCCTCTTTCCTGTGTCCCTATCTCATTTTCATCTCCTTTTTAGACCCTTCACACTTTCCCTTTTGTCCTCTGCATTTTGTTTCCTTCATTCTTCTTCTAACCTTATACTGCTTTTCTACTTATTCTCTCCTGTGGTCTCCTTAGCCTCTTCCCCATTTACCCCTCCCGCACCTTCCTCCCGCCCTTATCTTTGCTCATTTTCTAACTACTTGCTTCCTATTATGCCCCATCTTTCTTTCCATTTCCTCTCCTTACTTATTCCGTGACACTTCTTCATCTTCCCTACCTCTTTCCATCACCTCTTCCTCACCCATATTGCTCCTTTTTTGTTTCCTCCTCTGTCTTGTGTTTATGTTTTCAGTTCCTGAAAGTCAAGTCAGCATGCGCCACTCCTCCTGCTGCTCTCGTAATCACACTCATTCTCAGCCCTCCCCATTCCCCAGTGCCCTCCTCTCTCTCACACTCTGTGTATATCCCATTCGGCCACTTTCCGCATTAACTCCTAGTCGTCAGTTTCATTCAGCTCAGAGCTGATATGCGGCTGTTTCTCTGATCAAAGTCTGTATACAAGGAGGCTCAGAAATCTGGAGGACCACCTGTTGCATTTTGATTGAAAGACGCCCCAATACAGGTACAGACTTTGTGTTTGTTTGAGGGTTGAAGCAAGTGTACTTTGCCATCTGCTGCTTTACCTGTCTGTTGTGATTTTCAGTGTTTCTGTTACCTGTCAGAGACCTGAGTGATGATGCACGTCTTTTCTTAATGACTTTCTCTAAATTTATCATTTTATTCGCATCATTTTGAGACCATGGCAGTGTGCTTATGTAAAGACAAAATCTCAAGTATTAGGATGTTTCGTTACACCTAAAACGTCTCCTGTGCTTCCCCGGAAAAGTCTGATATTATGCCTAAAATAAAACTCTCATGTTTCCTAAACAGTTCGTAGAAACAGCAAATGTGGTGGGAGCTCCATTAGCTATAATTAGGTGGGAACATTATTTTGTAAACACCATTAATTCAGTCATTTGAAAATTGTAAATAAGCTTATTTAATTAATCACCTCAAATTAGGTCACGCTTTGGGGGAAAGGAAAACCGTGAAATAACCTGGCACTCCTGAGAAACACAAGGAAAAATACAACCTTTTTTTTTTTTTCTTTAAATGTAGTCAGTTAAAATGTGACTTTAAAAAAAATATTCATACTGCAAATAACACCATATATGTCCATGCATAATGCATAAGCAAAGTTTCAGCATCATCCTATGAATCCACTTCTATTTGTATTCATCTGCTGGCTAAGCTTTGAGTTTCAGACAGCAAGGAGTCTGTGTGAGCCCCTTAAAATCCCCGAGTTTTTCTGTGCTTTTATAACTCGAGTTGTGGGGACATAAAAGTGATAACAAGCTCAGTCTGTGGGGACCTGTCTTTATTGTTGGGGACATAAAGCATGCAAAATGTAACATTTTAGAGTGAAGAACAGAGTGTAATGTCTTCTGTAGGGATAAAAACATATTATCCGTGGTTGTATACTTGCATTACTCATACAGTGGGGACATACAGATTTATGTGACCACTTAGTGAGGACTCGACTACTTTTGGTAATGAAAAGCGCATCCTTATAATCTACAACATTTCACATTACGTGACAGGATGAAGACTAGAGTGTAATCGCTTCTAAATTGTGTGTGTGTGTGTGTACTTGTTTTTCTCATATTGTGGGGACAAATGTATTTACACAGCTGCTTACTGGGGACTTGACTTACCTTTGCAGATGAAAAGCACATTTATGATGTAAAAAATTAGACATTTCAGGATGAAGACTAGAGTGTAGTTTAGTCTTTTGTGTGTCTGTGTGTGTGTGTGTGTGGCAACATGCCAGTTCAGTCAGGACTGACACAATACCACTGCTGTGACGACGCAGGATCCGTCTTTGTGGCTCGGCCGTCAGTCTTTATCACTGCCAAGGGGCCTATTAGCTCTGCCTGTCTGTTTATGCGTGTGTCTGTGTATGTTTGCACATGTGTGTGTGTCTCTTCCTGTCAGTGAGCAAGCAAGTATCTTTGCATACTAATGTATGTTAAGCTCACTCTGTGAGGTAGTTTTTGACAACATCCTAATTAGACCAGCCACCGTTCCTTATTTATTCTAAGAAAAACAAGACGTGGAGCTGCATAATGTGAACATAATGTTCCTTCATTAGAAAGGATCAAGGAACCACAGAAGGTACTGCACGTATTAGTTGCATGTGTGTGTGTGTTTAACATATTGAAAGGAAGGGAGGAAATAAAAAAGTCATTTGTGTTATCACGAACTGTTTCATTCTTTCAAACGAGATAGTGTTTTTGAACAAGCTGGAAATCTGCTTTACCATGTCACTTTGTCTAGGATTTTGGTATTTTAATTAATAAATACAGTACATTATTTTGTGGAGCAGCTTTATCCACTTGTCCCTTGTGGCACTTACTTCATAAACCTCCATATAACAGTATTAGGACGGAAAGGGTCAGTTTATATATTAGACCTATTTATAACTTAAGCTTTACAGAGAGCCTACGGGATTCTTATTGTCCCTCACCAGTGAAGCGGCAAAGCCATTATTGCAGCACGAACAGATAAAATGCTGTGTTTAGTACAGAACTGGGCATCCAAAGAACATGTTCTGTACACTCTTTTCTTGTGGATGTTTTAAATTTGAAGAAGGAAGCTGTATTAGATTCTACATTTTCAAACAGCCGTGAAGGAGAGTGAAATTAGTAATATAGCTTTTGCTATTATAGAGAACTTTGTGTGTTCAACCAGCCACACGCAATTCGCATACATCCATACCTGTCAGTTTGTAATGGTATTTGATATGTATATGCAGTGGATTGAATGGCTGTTATTAGTTGTTAGTGCCATACATATCTCCACAGGACGCTGAATGGATGTATAGCATGTGTTGTTTCCCAGTTAAATACAGTCAAACTCAACTGTGACCAATGAGTTTCATCCTCATCTTTTTGACTTAACATTTTCTTTATGATATGCTCTAAAGTTTTGCTTTTTGATGCTGTGGTTTATCAAATGTACTCGGTTGGGGGATTGCAAAACGCACCCTTGGGTTTAAATTTACCCTTTCGAAATGTAAGGAACTTCATAGTTTTTATAATGTTGCAAGATTACATTTGCCAGGACATTTAACAACAGAGATCTTACGTGCATGTCTTTGCATGACCACCAGATGTCTCCTACATAAATCTCTCCGGTGCTAATACACCTTCTCAAAACTGGGTCCAGCTCAGTTTCCTTTCTACTCCCTCCTAGACCTGTCCGGGAGGTTCGTCAGTTTCCATGGTCATTTAAAACTTGTATATGCATAAAGGCACAGTATGAACTAAATGGTGTCAGGCTTGCTCAGGGCCCCTCCACAAGATATATCCCTGATTTAGAGAAAAATACTGTAATAGCATTATACTAAGAGGTTCCCAGGGTGCACTTACACCAAGCTTGGTTGCCTTGTACTGTGCCTGAGAATACCTGTAGCCCCTCTACAGTTCACCTTTTTTCATACTGAGCTTAAGTATGTGGTATCAGCTACAGCTTTAGGTTTTCTCAGACAGGTTTAATTTGTAAGATGAAGACCCCACAATAATACAACTGAACCAGGTCTGAGAAATGTACCCAGTAATACCATAGATCAATCACACAGGACAACAGGGGGAGGTCAAGCACACTCAATTAAATTAAATTTTTACTTATATAATGCCAAATCACAAGAGCAGTCGCCTCAAGGCGCTTTATATTGTAAGGTAGACCCTACAATAGTACATACAGAGAAAAACCCAACAATCGTATGACCCCCTATGAGCAAGCACTTTGGCGACAGTGGGAAGGAAAAACTCCCTTTTAACAGGAAGAAACCTCCGACAGAACCAGGCTCAGGGAGGGGCGGCCATCTGCTGCGACCGGTTGGGGTGAGAGCACTCATGCACAGTATGGATCATCTGGTTTAAGTACACCCTTGTTTAGAATCTATAGTTGAAGAAGAACGAGAAAAATCTTTTTTTCATATGTACCAAATGTTTTTACCTGATTGCTCATGCGTCTTTGCTTTTGTGTCGCTTAATCAAAATTATGAATTGTCTGATAAAATACATATTTTCTCAACCTTGGCAGTATAAGCATCAGGATATTATGCAAAATACACAAAAAGAAAAACTGTGTTACACAGGGTCATCATTAAAGAGAGCATATACATAAAGACTGGGGCACTTTACATGAATAGAATAGGATCTTGTGTCAATTATTTCCTTTTATGTACTCTGTAAGGAAAAATATTAATGTTGCTCCACAAGGGAGTCTTTAAGGAATCATTGACCACCCTGAACATTTTCTCCTTTGTAACTTTTCCTTGGACCTGAAGAGTTTCAAAAACCCTGCTGTATGTCAGCCAAAAAGTTTTTTGGGATTCAGGGATAAATCTTGCTTTTTCCGGCTGATAATTCGACCCTGCAGGGGTTTAAAATTGTGGGAAATTGCAGTATATTATTCGTGGCTTTATTAATACACATTGCATTACAGTTACATACACTCTAGTTTTCAAGTATTCCCAGATGTTTGGTTGAACAGGAAATCAATAGTTGTCTCAGCAAATAAATAAGCAATGTTATTATGTTAATGGAAACAATTAAAATGTTCTTGTAATTCAGGAAAAATGAACCACCTCCTCACCTCCTGGTAATGAATGAGAACGAGAGGCAGTATTTATCTTTGCCTCATTTGCACAGTTTGGCCAAGAAGGTAGGAGGTGGGTGGGGGGCAGAACAAAATGCTGAGGTTAATGATGTGCACGGCGAGAAGCACCCAAGGGAGAGATGACTATACACAAAACAGCAGCGTGGGGGGGGAGTGAAAAGCATCCGAGAGCTCTCACACCATGTTTCTTACTGTGTTGTGTCATCAGACGGGGGCACAGCATCAGAACAAGGTTATATGACCTGCTTTTAAATGCAAACTCAAAAACGGGCCCAGTTTTAGCAGGTGCTGCTTTGAACAACACGTCCTTCATTGCAGTGATCAGTGTCCTGTTTGATCTGCTGATTTGCTTCTTTCAAGCTCCGCAAGGTCTCATCTCTTATGTGTTTATCTGTCATCACGTTTCCAAGTTCTGTGAGAAGTCAGAGTTTATTTTGGTAAACATCTGGGAAAAAAATGAAAAAGCTTTTCTTTTACTGTCTAAAATCAGTAATGAGAGGTTTAGGTCATTGTATTCCACTTTCTGCTACCTTCCTGTGTGGTTTGTCTTTCATGTGGCTGCACTGCCTCATTTCCTAGTTCCTGGTATTGAAAACTCATGATTGTACAAAAAGAGAAAACCTACAGAGTGAAGGAGGGTCTTATTTTAATAATCAACTAAGTCAACAATACTCTTTTTAAATCTTTTTTCTCCTTGTTTTCATGGTGAAATGGATTGGAAAGATTGGAAAGTAGTTACTACGATCAAATACTTTGTGTAAAATAGTCTTGAGTTTAGAATACAGTGATTTCTAGTTAGTTTTACATCAGCGAAATTTTTGTATCACAAGAGGAAAAAGAGCACAGAGCCAGACATGACACATTTCCCACACATTATTAATGAAAATAAAATTGTAT